TCCGCAGCAGCACCGCTGCCGCCCGAGCCAGGCCCCCAGCTCCGGACACCTCGTTGCCTCCTCTGAAGCAGTCCAGCCGGAGCAGAGGCGTACCCTCGGCCGGCCGCCTCTTCCGTTGCGCCAACGCGCAGCAAGCCAATCCCAGCAGGCTAGGGGCGGCCCGAAGTTCTAGTGTCCAATAGGGTCCCTAGATGGAGTAGGACTGACCGCGCCTCCGTCCAATGAGAGGTTCCCAGGACAGGGCGGGGCGCAGGGTAGCCGGGGAGCAGATCCGAGCTCGGCAGAGAGAAGGCGGTGTGACTGAGGGGGGAGTGATGGCGGCGCCGCCCAATGGACGTGTGAGTGGAGGGGCCCGTGCCCCCTCCTTCCACCGTACCCGCCTGCACGCGTAGACAGGTCCGCGCTCCTCGGCACCAGAACTCTCCCGGGATGCTGCCGCGTGCCCCCGAGTCCCTCCCGGATGCTCCGTCCCTTCCTCTCCGAGCTGGCCCCCTCCTCCAAGTAGTGTTCCCGCAGGGTCTAGCCGCCAATCGTTGGCAAACGGAAGGGCTAGAAATGTGGCTGACCCTAGCCTTTGTCCCTCGGCCTGGTTCCGCCGCTGTCGTCAGGGCCGCTAGCCCCCGCCCCCGGCGCGCTATTTTTTACTACCGCCCCCTCCCCCAGCACCGTCACTGGCGTATTTGGGCTAAGCCCCCTCCATTCCGCCTGCGTTGGAGAAATGTTCCCGGTACCAGAAGGAATGAAAGGACTGGGTTTGGTCTCCATGGCAACTGGAAGAAAGAGGTGGGTTATAAATCCTTCGCCACCCTCCTGTGGCGAAGGAGGGGGTGTGGGAGCCAGGAAGTAGGGTTGGCTTTTTGAAGGAGATTCTGGCCCACCTTTTCTGTGTGGTGCACTGGGAGACAGAGAAGGATTTGGTGACCAACTTGGAGCTGGGGAGCGGGGGAGTCTTTTTTTTTTTTTTATTCATCGTATTCCCTTCTCTTTTGGGACGCGAACATGGTCACGTCCAGCCCTGAGATCCTGACCTTTCCTATCATAGCACAGGCCCTTCCAAGCACCCCTTATTCCAGAGGTTACTCAAGCCGAGAATGATCCCGCCCCGCTCACTCCATCGAGTTTAACAGAACCGTGGGTTTCTTTTGCTTGCTAATTATTTCATGAGTACCTCCCCTGGGAGACTAATGTCCCTGGGTGATAGCGCTTATTTTCTTAACCCTTCCTGTAATGACTGCCAGTAGCAGGCTGACCAAGAAAGATGAGCTTCTCTCTTGTTAAATAGAAATACCATGCTCCCTCCAAAATAACTCCCCTCACCGTAGGAATAACTCTGGAAACCCTATTTCCTAACTCTGGAAATTCCAGCTCCTGCAGCTCCTACAAAAACCAAACAGCTATAACTACTCTTCTAAATCCCAGTTCCCAGCACTGCCTACCTTTCTGCCTCCTCCCTCCACCACACCAACTCAAAAAATATATATGGTCTCCCTTGACCTGGGGAAGCTTCTATCCAAGTCTGTGAGCTCCCATAGACCATCCTGAAGATTCAAAGAATCATCATCTGAGGCTGCCAAGATGAACCTCAACATGAAAACAACACCTGAAATATGTGGTGTTTTTTACAGTTTACAGAGTGCCTTTACATCACTTAATCCTCCCAGCACCACTTGGATGATGAGGCAATTTACCCAGAGGCACACAGCTTAAAAAAATGACAGAGCCTGGATTTCTGAGAAGTTAGCTACTTTGCCATATGAAATCAAAAGGGCATGGATTCAGTAAAATTCCAGTACATTACCGGCAGGCTTTTTTTCCTTTTAAATACATATGTGTATCTTCACGCTCTAAAGTGTATTTGTGAACTTGCTGACAATCTGTGGCTATCATTAAAGTTAATCCAGAATAACAAGTATAAATTACTGGCAGTTAGGCAAGATGTTTATAATCTTAAATCAAAAATGCAAATAAATTGAGCAAAAGAAATCAAACACAAAAGATCATATACTGTATGATTCTATTTATATGAAGTTCAACATAAATAATGTTAGAAGTCAGGATGTTGGTTACTCTTGAGGAACAGGGAGAACGCAGTAATGAGAGGGCATTAGATAGGCTTGTTTGGCTGGTCATGTTTGGTTTCTTTGGATGGTAGTTAAATGGGTGTTGTCCACTCTCATATTTCATCAGTATGTTCACTTAATTTGTGCACTTTTCTGTATGTGTGTTAAATAAAACTTCTAAAAAAAATTAAAGATTTGCTTGGAGCAAAGTAAACCCATGATTAAGCTTAGATTTTTTTCAAAAAGTGAAATGAAAGCAATTAGGAGATTTCCTTTCTCTGTGGTTATAATAGTTTATTTTATAAGAAGAGCATTATTAAGTTCTTTATCACTTCTCTCAGTTATTTACCCTTGGGGAGAGGCTCAGAGTCCATTTGTTAAGGATCCTCAAATTTCAGGCAGCTAAAGAGGTTAAATGCACAAAGGAAGAACTATCTACTTTATTTTGGCACATGCAGGCTTCCATAGAACTTTATTGTGCTCCCCTCTCAGAATCTCTGTTGCTGGTCATATTCACTGAAAGAGAACACCAGTCTACATTAATGAAAGTGTGAATTTTGTCATTTTAATGAAATACTGTTTGTATTACTCTCAAGTATTCTCATCTGTTGACTTAAATGAATATCTTAAAAAGTATTATCAAGAGGTCATTATGGGACCTGTACCAATGAATAGATGAGGATGCTTAGTCATTAGTCATTATTTTTGCAGGTTAGTGGGATGCTATTTTAAGCTGGCCAAACACCTTGCAGTCAATCTTCATCCAATTAATTACCACATCAAAAGCAATTGTCTTGGCTCTTCCCTACCTCAAGGCTTACGTATCTGCTATTCTTCCTGCCTAGAGAACTCCTTCCCCCATCCCAGCCCTGGGAACCTATCTTCACCTTTTACTCCTTTGGCCCTTTTTTCTGTTCAGGTCTCAGCTTAAATATTCTCTCCCTCTGAGAATCCCTTCACCACCACCCTCTCGAAGTAGGTGTTGCTTCCCCTGCCCAACCCGTTTCCTATTTCTTTCCTTTTAATTTCCTTCCTCTCTATTCCAATTGCATTTTAATCAACTTTTTTTGAGGTATAATTCAGTATAGATAATGAAATGCATCCATTTTAAGTACGCCATTTGGTAAATTTTGATAAATGTAGCCGCCAACACCACAATTAAAAAACTGCCTTCACCTTTCTGAAACGTTCCCCATCCCTGGTCCCAGGCCACCACGTATCTGGTTTCTAACCCTATAGGTTATATTTGCCTTTCCCAGGGTTCCCTATAAATAGCATCATTCAGAATATCCTCTTTTGAGTCTGGCTTCTTTTGGCATAATGTTTTCAAGATTCATCCATGTTGTTGGTATGTCAATAGTTTGTTTCTTTTTTTGCTGAGTAGTACTCTATTATATGGAAATACCTTAGTTTGTCTATCCATTCACCAACTGGTGGACATTTAGGTTATTTCCAATTGTTGGCTATTGGGAATAAAACTATGAAATTTAAAGCTTGATTTTATAATGTTCAACTATGATGGAGAATAAGTGAGAGAAAGTTTCTTATAAAGTTAAACATTATATGGCCCACTACTAGGGATGAAATCATATAGTCACAGGACTTATACGCAAATTTCATAGTTTTGTGGCACTGGAATTTAAACCGTAGAAATATTGACAGCTTTGTAAGTTTTTAGTTATGTAAATTAAAATCAAATAATTGGAGCTTTTTTCAATATGGAAACTATACAAATGTAATAAATGGCAAAAGGACCTAATAGCAATATTTTATTTATAGATTATCAGTTACTTTAGGACCTAAATAAAGATTCTGAATATTCAGACTTTTTTTTGCTATATTTCATATTTAAATATCTCCCTACCTATATTCCGAGTAAAGCTACTTGACCAAAAGGTCTGATTTAGGAAGGCATTTAGCTTTATAGCAAAAGTTTTTCCATCCACAGTTACTGCCTTCAAAGGAATTGATATTACAGTGCTGATGTAATCTACTGGTTCCCTTTTGAACAGTGTGCAGAAATTATGTTAACCCTATAGAAAGTCAAATGGGTATCACAAAAATGGGATAACTATGCACAGTTCAGTAAAATATGTTAAGGGTTCCCCATCTAAAAAATAACCTATGAAATAAAACATATGAACTATAGTTGACTTGGTTTCAGGAAAAGCACATTTGAGAATTACATTATTGTTCTCATCTCATCTTCAGTCATCAGCAAGGATTTTGTAGTCCACTATACTATTTACTTTGTGGATTGTAGTAGTGAATTAATGAAGATGGACTTGCTCAGAATTGGTAATGAACTGTATCCCAACTCCTCCCATTTTTCAGGTATAACCAAATCCTTACCTGTATAAATCAGTAGTAGATCAAATGAACAAGAAACTTCCAACAGTGGCAGGAATGTCACTGTAGTTGTGATCTGTCTTATCACTGATTGGATTTCATCTTAGATTCTGAGGTTTTTCCCCGGGTGTACTATCATCTTTGGTAGTCTTGTCACAATATGAAATTGCCATATTTCAAGGACCTCACCATTTTCAATATTTGAGATTACTACCTCTTGTTTCTGAACTGAACATTTGTATAACCAATCTTATAGTTGTTCCACCACATTATTTAGCTATTTCATGAGCTCAGGATCGGTAGTTACAAGCAAGGTGAGTCCACATTTCTGCACACAAGTAAAGGTTTCAGATGGATATATGCCATGCCAATATAAAATGCTGTTCATGCCAAATGAGAAGAACTTGACCACTATTTGGGTTCTCTTACACAAAGTGATACCTTGCTCCCTGGAGAGCTGCAGCGCTGTGGCCAGGCCCACAGATACAGCAGACACCCCTTCACAGACGGGGACCGCAGAGCTACACAGCAGCTCTCTGCCACTGGTTTCAAAATCTTAATTAATATTTTTAATTCAGTGTCTGAATAGAAAGAAAAAAAATCAAATTGACCTCTGTCTGAAAGATCCTGAATTTGAAATCAAAAGGCTTGAATGAGCCTTACCTATAAACAACAAAGGAATCTAATAATTTGAAAAAAAAAAAAACCTCTCCAAAACACCTGTCAGTACTGAAAGATGAGGTATGCATAGTGACCTAACTCTCTGAGAGACTGCAAAAGTTGGAGCAGCTGGGTTTTAGGGAAGCTAATGAATCAACCCGACAGACCCAAAGAGCCGTTGAGTTCCTATCATATGCACAGCTATCACATGGCAGTGGGGCTGGCTCTGAGGGTATCCAGAGAAAGCAGCTACCCATATGGTACAAATCAAGGAAATTCCCTCCCCATAGGAGGAAGAATGTATTATCTGATTGGTAAATTTGAAAGAAGGAACCTCATATGTTTGGCTAGGTCCTAACTCCCTCCGCTGTGGGTGTCACGGGCTTGTGGAGTATATGCTTTCTGGTCTGCTAGCTGCCACCTGGTAAGAGGTCCACCCCTGTGGGGATCAGGGGGAGGCCAGAAGTATCCAGAACCACTGTGAACAGGTGGTTAAATTCAAAACTTGAGCACTCAGCCATAGACTGAAAACCGAATTCTCCAATCAGCTTCAGAAGTTTAAAAAGATGGTATTTTGATTACTAATTGACTCCTGTCTCTGTCTCAGAAAAATAGAAAGGGATGTGGTGCTTTGGGTCCATTAACCCTAACACTCACTGTTCTTACTGTTTCTGGGGCTTACGTCAAAGAAAAAACATCTGGGTTGTAAACACCTTGAGAGAAGGAGCTGTGACTTTATCATCTTTGTATACTCTCCCCCAGCCCAATAGATACGCAGCTGGCACACAGTGGGGTATCAGATGTAAAAATAGAACTAACTCTAGATAAGGTAATTGGAGCAGGGTATAATATGGCACCAGGATGCTCTGAATTAGAAGTCACCTGATGCCGATCAACTGCCCAGGAGCCAACTAAATGAGGAGTAGGTTAGTGATGGTGTAAGAGTTCCTCAGAACAAGCAGGCTTCTGGGACAGTAGTTCTCATCCCCACCTGAGAATCACCTGAGGAGCTTTGGGAGAAAAAAAGATAGCAAGGCTGCATAGATCCCAGACAAATGAAGTTGGCATCTCGGGGGGTGAGACCCAAATGTCAGTAGTGTTTAATACTCCCCAGGTGATTCCAATGTGCAGGTAAGGTTGAGATCCAGAGTTCTAGGCTGGCTTTGCTTTGAAATAATTGTTTATAAGAAATGAAGAATCTCAAACCCCACCCCAGACCCACCTTATCTTCATTTTTAGCAAGAGCTCTAGGTGACATATATGTGCTACAGTTTGGGAAGCAGTAGTGTAGAATATAGACTTTGGAGTCAGCTGAACCTTGGTTCTAATCCTGGCTGCACCAGGTAAGTGATTTGGGAAAAGTGCTTACCTTAGCTAAACTTCAGTTTAATAAACTATGATAGGTCCATACAATGGAACATTGTGCCGCCATTACAAGAAATTTGTAATATCTTTAGATACTATGGAATGATTCCCAAAGTATTTTAACTGGAAAAAAAAAAAAGCAAAATATAGACATGTATGTCATCTGTTTTAACAAAAAGATGAAAAATATTTTAATGGGTTTTGGGAAAAATTAAATAAATATATTTATAGAACAGCTAGATTGTTTCTGGCACATAATAAATGCTTAAAAAGTATCACCTATTCCTATTCCTTTGTTGACGCAGTTACTAGCTGGTAGCTCAGAAAAATAATGTGGGTGCAATGGCTCTGGTTTCAACAGGGCACTTAGGGAAGTCTCTTACTATCAAGACACAAAAGAAAAATGTCTTAACCTTTTATTACGGAAAAATTAAAAAATGTACAAAAATCAGGTATCATGAACGCTCATATTCTGATCACCCAACTTCAACAATATTTAATTCATAGTCTTTCTTGTTTCATCTTTACCCTCACACTCTCCAAACCTCAAGGGATTATTGTGAAGTAAAGCCCAGACATATTGCTACATCATAAATACTTTAGTGCAGTACCTATAAAACATGAGGACTCTTTTTTTAACACTTTCACAGACCTAGTATCATTAAATACTAGTCAGTGTTTAAATTTCCCTGATTGTCAAACTTTTTTAAAAATTGTTCAAATTTGTTTTTAAAGGTCAACAAATTACATTTGATCGCTTTGTCTCTTAAGTCTTCTTTAACTTATAGGTTTCACTTCCATTTTTTCCCCTTCCAATATATATTGAAGAAACCAGGTTTTTTGTCCTGATGAATTTCCTACATTCAGGATTTTGATGACTGTGTCCTTGTACTTTAGCTTGTTCTTCTGCCCCCTATGTTTCTTGCAATCTGATAGAAGTAGAGCCTTGATTAGATTCAGGTTTGCTGTCTTTAAAAGAATTCTTCGTAAGTGGTGCTATTTATTCCTATTTATTTCATCAGGAGAACAGGAAAATCCTACTTCATAACATTAACTACTTATTTGCATTATTAGCTCTTGTTGAGATGTTAAGATTGGTCACTTGGTTCAGGGATCATCAGACTAGTTCATCCATTATAAAGTTCTCCATCAGCTTTTCACCTACTGGTTTTAGCAGCTATTGGTGATATTGCCTAATGATGATCGAGCCATTATTTCATTAGGGGCTGAAAAATTGTTATATTCTAATTCTATTGTCTCTTCTGCACTTAATAACTGGAATTTTCTTATAAAGAAACCTCTCTCATCAACTCTTTGGTATCCTTAAGTACAGCTTGTATAGAAAAGGCAGGATTGATTCTTTCCCTTTTATCAGAATGAATTTGTTTCCTAGTATCTTCTAAAGGCAACTAATGAATTATTTTCTTTTTAGTATTATTATGAACTTATGCATTGTAGAAACATGTTTGATGAATTTCAATCCACTGGAGTCACTCTTCTTTTTGATATTCAAATTGTCCCATATTGGGCCAATGGACGCCCTCTAGATTGACTTCCTAGTCATTTAAACATGACTCTAGTAGTCCTAGCTTCCTTTTTCTCTGGTCTGACAAGTTTCCAGCCCAGATTCTGTAAATTTCCTGCCCAGATCTTGAATCAGCCATTTCTCCAAAGAGTAAATGTTTCTTTCTATGGAAAATGGTATTTAAAGGCCACAATTTGCACACTAGGAGTGCTCACTGATACTGGGTGATTCATTGTTTTCAGGCTCTTTTGGTGAACAGAACTAGAAAATATATTTTTAAAGATAAAACTATATCATAAACTTCTTCTGCTATTTTCCATTCATTTTTAAATTTACAGTTTTTATCTTTTTTATTTTCAAGTATACAGTACATTGGTTAGACACTTATAGTTTTTACCTTTTTTTAGTATTTCTCTTTTATCTTACCCAAAAATCTAAGTTCTTAATAACATTCACTACTTTTTTGCTTTATCATTAAATATATAGATAATAGTTTTAGAATAAAAATACCAATATTATTACCAACAATAGGATTACTAAATACTATTTAGGATTTCTTTGTTCTTTTTGTCCTTAGGATGCATTGCACTAGGGATGAAAAATAAAATTATTGTGCTTTAAAGTCCTTTGAAATAATTCTCCTCTGTGTAGTTCAGTCATCAATACACAATTGGGTTCTTTTTTTTTTATTATTTGATTCTTGTTTTGGGATTTTGCATATTTTTTATTTAATTTTGTTATATAATTATGGAAAATAGTAACATGATTCCAAAGTCAATAAAACAAGGTATATCCAGAGAA